CCCAGGCCTTCACCTTTGGATTGATTCTTTTTAAAATAGCCTTTTTCTGCCCTAGCTGGTTTGGCTCTGGTTAGAGCATCAGCCCACAGACTGAAGGGTCCTGGGTTTGATTCCGGCCAGGGCACGTACCTTGGTTGCAAGCTCGATCCTCGGGGCACGTTTGGGAGACAACCATTCGATTTGTCTTTCTCACATGAATGTTTCTCTCTCGCCCTTACACTCTTTCTGAAAAGCAAAAGGAAAAAATATCCTCGCATGAGGATTAAAAAATTAAATAAAATAACCTTTTTCTGAAGGGTCACTTCCCTTTTCAATGCTCAGTCCTGCCACAACAAAAGAGGGGTACTAAAATCTAAAAAGCCTCAGGCCCCACTAAACCTCATCCTAGGCCTGTAGCTTTTTGGAATTCATACTGTATCACTGGTTCAAATGATGTTCAGTGCAACTGGACAGTATGGCAATAGTTACTAGAAAAGGTGTTTCTGGCCTTTTGCCAAAAGGAGGAAAAGGTGTGGACTTGTTCCTGAATTAGTTTGTGGGTGTGTAATCCTTTTAGTTTGCAAAGTACTTTTGCATCCATTTTATCACCAAATAACCCTGTGAGTCGTCTAGCACCATAGTATAGATGAGGAAACTGGGACTTACTTTATCTCATTTTATCTTCAAAATAATCTTGTGCAAAAAAGTTAATCTCCTTGTCTAAGCCCTTATACCTAGTTAGTACAGTAGTCACCCCTTGTCCACAGGGGTTACATTCCAAGACCCACAGTAGATGCCCAAAACCACAAATAGGTACTGAACCCTGTATATACTGTGTTTTATCCCTATACATACATACCTGAGTTTAACTTATAAATTAGTGACAGTAAGAGATTAACAACGATAACTAATAATAAAACAGTTATAACAATATACTCTAATAAAAATTATGTGAGTGGTCTGTCTCTCAAAACATTTTATTGTGATATACTCACCTTTTCACTTAAATGAAGCACTTAATGGCTTCTCTTTGGCATATCTAAATTGCCAGCATCACTACTCTTTATGTTTTGGGACCATTATTAAGTAAAATGAGGGCTACCTGAACATAGGCACTTGGGATACCTTGACTGAGGATTTGATAACCTAGCCTGCTGGCTACTAAGTCACTAACTGGTGGGAGCATATACAGTGTGGATACATACACTGGACAGAGGGAAAATTCATGTCCCAATGGGATATAGCAGGACAGTGCGACATTTAAAACTTATGAATTGTTGACTTCTGGAATTTTCCATTTAGTATTTTCGGACCACAGTTAAAGTGAAACCAGGGATAGGTACTGTGTAGTATAATTAGTTGTTTTTTTGAAGGCAGTGTTGAACTTTTTGTTGTAACTCAGAGGTCTTCTCATAGAAAGCTGTTTCTCTTTGGGGAAAAAACCCTGCCTGTAAACATATGAATAGGCTAGCTATACTATTTGTCTTTGTAGTGAGGGATATAGCCTTCTTTTTTGTTTGGTTTTTTTAATTTTTATTCCTTATTGATTTTAGAAAGAGGAAGGGAGAGAGAGAGAGAAACATTGATCAGTTATCTCCCATGCTTCCCCCAAACCCAAAGCCTGGGTATGTGCCCTGACCCCGGGAATCAACCCAAAACCTTTTGGTGTATGAGACGATGCTCCAACCGAGCCACACCAGCCAGGGTGGAAATATATAGCCTTCTTGAATCTCAGGTCTATCTTTCTGGATAATTTTCTTCCTGAAGTAGATCTAAAAATTCTTTGGGTGCATGTGTATAGGCAATACACTGTCAACTTTTGTTTGTCTGAAATGTCTTCATTTTACTTCCTTTAAGATATTTTCTTACCCGGGTACACAACTCTAGCTTAATTATTCTCTCAGCACTTTGAAGATGATTTTCAGTTTTCTGGTTTCCATTGCTGTTGTTGAGTAGTCTTCAGTCAGTTGTTACTTTGTAGATGGTCTGTCTTCTCTGTGCTTTTTCCAGGAGCATTTGAGGTAGTGTTCTTAAAGTCGGCCTTTGCCTGTGGGCTCTCCTAGACTGACTCAAGAGGTTGAAGTGTTGCCAGAAGACTAGGTGCTGGAGAGATCTTACCAGCAGGGTTAAGTAATTGATCATTTTCTCATTTGCTTTTCTCAGAGCCACTCAGAACTATTAATAGCTAGATTGAGATGGACTGGGTAGTCTAACAACAGCCTTTCTGACCTTTCCTCTGTGCCTAACAAAGCCCAGCTCTGGAACCCAGATGATGGGAGAGAGTCTGTCTTCAGGGAATGAAGCTCTGAATGCAAGAAGCAGAGTTAAACCGACTGCTGCCTCCAGACTTGGTAACTCTTTCCAAGATATTCAGGGCCTTTTTACAGCTTTTTTTATGTCAAACTGTCCTTAGAGGCTAAGATGAAGACAGGTTGAATCACTGTCATTCCTTGTTAATACATAAGAGAAAAGAGTAATTATTGCATAAATTTTTGTGTTTTCTTTGCAGAATGCATCCTGTCTTGTTTTTGCTGCCCGGCATGCTAGTGCTTCCTCCTCGGTAAGTTTTGAGGGAAAAAAGACTGAGAATCATTGAGGGTGCCTGATCCTGGGATAGGGTTAGGGGGTGGTTTGGCTGCTACCCACACTTATCATTATCCTGAGTATCTTCTGGAGATTATTTGTTATTGTTATATAACACTTATTATTACTACTATTTTAAGAAGTAATTTACACAGTAATGTAGTGAGATGAGAATATCAAATATTTTTGTCTAATCTTTTTTTAAAAATTGTGGTAAAATATACATACCATAAAATTTACCATTTTAAATTTTTTTTAATTTTATGTTTATTGTTGAAAGTATTACAGATGTCCCCCTTTTCCCCCCTCATTAATCCCCTCCACCCCGCATCGGCCCACCCACAGGCCTTCCCTATACTGTTGTCTCTGTCCATGGGTTATGCATATATACATATAAGTTCTTTGATTAATCTCTTCCACCCCCGCCTTCCCACTTGAGATCCCTCAGTCTGTTCCATGCTTCTGTGTCTCTGGGTCTGTTTTGTTCCTCAGTTTATTTTGTTCATTATATTCCACATATGAGTGAGATCATGTGATACTTTGTCTTTCTCTGACTGGCTTATTTCGCTTAGCATAATACTCAAGTTCCATCCATGTTGTCCCAAAGGGTAAGAGATCTTTCTTTTCTACAGCTGCATAGTATTCCATGGTGGAAATGTGCCACCATTTTTAAGTGTATTAAGTACATTCACATTATTGTGCAGCCATCACCACTGTCCATCTTCAGAACTTTTTCATGTTCCCAAATTGAAATTCTGTACCCATTAAAACAAGTCCCTATTCCCCTTTCCTTCTGCCTCTTTCTTTTTTTAAAATGTATTGAGTTTTAGAGAGACAGGAAGGGGGTTAGAGAGAGAAACATCAATATGTTATTCTACTTATTTATGGATTCATTTTTTGGTACTTGTATGTGTGGGGATCAAACCCACAACCTTGACATAGGGGGATGATGCTGTAACCAACTGAGCTACCCTGCCAGGGCTCTGCCTAATTCTTTATTCTTTTTTTCTTTTTTTTTTAATATATCTTTATTGATTTCAGAGAGAGGAAGGAATAGGGAGAGAGAGAAATAGAATCATCAATGATGAGAGAGTAGTCATTGGTCGGCTACCTCCTGCATGTCCCCAACTGGGGATCGAGCCTGCAACCAGGACATGTGCCCCAACCAGGAATTGAACCATGTCTTCTGGATCCTAGGTCGATGCTCAACTGCTGAGCCACACCCAGCTAGGCTGCCTAGTTCTTTTAACTCATCTATACAGAGTAGTTGACCAGTGTTACCTGGCAGATAGAGAAAGGCATGTTATAAAAATCAGTCTTCAGCCCTAGCTAGTTTGGCTTAGTGGTTAGAGTGTCAGTCCATGGACTGAAGGGTCCCTCGTTTGATTCCAGCCAAGGCCATATTCCTCAGTTGCAGGCTCCATCCCCAGCCCATTTGGGGCGTGTGCAGGAGGCAACCAGTCGATGTGTCTCTCTCATATTGATGTTTCTGTCTCTCCCTCTCTCCCTCTCTCCCTCTCTCCCTTTCTCCCTTTCTCCCTCTCTCCCTCCTCCACTCTCTCTGAAAAGCAATAGAAAAAATATCCTCCAGTGAGGATTTAAAAAAAAATCAGTCTTTATACACCTACTTTGCAGGAAATGTAGCCAACATTTTGACCATCACTTAGCCTCGCTCTTTCTCTTTTTAGAATTTGAAAGATGTATTGGCTGACCTGATACCTAAGGAGCAGGCCAGAGTTAAGACCTTCAGGCAGCAACATGGCAAGACGGTGGTGGGCCAAATCACTGTGGACATGGTAAGGGTTGTGGGGTTTTGGCAGGAAAAGTAGCTCTGTAATGTGCTTCAACAAAAGTACTGTTCTTTTCACTGACTATTCAAAAGCTTTCTGTTCCATACAAGGAAATGTTGGTGCTAAATGGTGTTTATTAGAAATTAGATTGTTAGTTTCTACAGATTTAATAGTTGAGCCTAACCTAATTCACCTATGGGAGGGATGAATGAAGTTTCTATTTCTCTTTCCAACCCCTTAGTTTTTGGGGCGAGGGCTCTCTTTGAGTTGATGTTGGACTTATTCTCCAGGCCCTCTAGAACAGCTTTAGGATGGTTTCTTCTCTAGCCCTAAGAGTGAGCAGCTCAGATAACTCCACAGTAGGTTTAGCCATTCGTCTCTATCTCCTTCCCCTGTAATAGATCCCATTCTGTTTACTGTGGTTGATGGGAATGAGGGAGTAACAGTGGGCAGGAGAAAAAATAAAGTTCAATAACAAAAGAAAGCAAACAGAGGCAGAAACATCAAATAAAGTAGTGATTTCTCAATTTAAAAATTTCATTTCCAGTATTAGCAGTCTCCCTTGCAAAGTTCCATACTGTAACAAGTTAACTCCTCGGAAATCTTCTTCCCCCAAATGAAGTCTTACCAGTCAGAGATAAATGACCTCTTCTAGAATCCCACAAAGCACTAACAAGCTCTAGCCTGAATTATTCTGACCATTGATTGCATCCTCTTCTTTCCTTTAGATGTATGGTGGCATGAGAGGCATGAAGGGATTGGTATACGAAACATCAGTTCTTGATCCTGATGAGGTAAGAGACCCTCACGTTAATCATTAGTAATTATTGTGTTTACTGACTATTGTGCACACTGTGGTTTAGAACACTGAGGGTACAGAGAACAAAATAAAGCACTTACCTTCATATTTTGGAAGCTTGAAAATAAGTATATATGGAATAACTGAAAAATAAGTTTACCTTTTCATTTTTTTTCTTTACTATTGATCTTTTTTTTAACTTATCTTTAGTGTTGAAAGTATTACAGATATCCTTCCTTTTTTTCCCATTGATCCCCCCCCCCAAGGTTTTCACGCCACTATTGTCTATGTCCATGGGTTATGCATATAAGTTCTTTGATTAATCTCTCCTCACCCTCTCCCCCACTCCCGCCTTCCCACTGAGATTTATCAGTCTATTCCATGCTTCTATGTCTCTGGATCTATTTTTTCCTCAGCGTATTTTGTTTATTAGATTCCACCTATGAGTGAGGTCATGTAAAACTGAATCAGAAAGAATCAGAAAACCTGAATTGGCTAATAAAAAATTGATGAAATGGAAGCAGTAATAAAAAAAACTCCCAGCAAACAAAAGCCCTGGTCTAGATGGCTTCACGGGGAGCTTTTTAATTCTTTAAGTTGGAGGGTTAGTTTACTAAAAATTTTTCTTGCTTTTTGAGGTAGGCTTGTAGTGCTATGAACTTCTCTCTTAGGGCTGCTTTTCTGTGTTCCATAGGTTTTGGGTTGTTGTGTGTTCATTTTCATTTGTTTCCAGCAAGTTTTTTATTTCTTTCTTGATCTTATTGGTAACCCATTCATTGTTTAATAACATGCTATTTAGCCTCCATGTGTTTGAATGTTTTTGAGTGTTTTTACTGTACTTGATCTCTAGTTTCATGCCCTTGTGATCTGAGATGCTTGATATGATTTCAGTCTTCTTTAACTTGTAGAGACTGGTTTTGTGTCCTAACATGCTGTCTGTCTTTGAGAATGACCCATGTGCACTTGAGAGGAATGTATATTCTGCAGCTTTGGGGTGAGATGTTCTGTAAATGTCAGTTAAATCCATCTGACCTAGTGTGCCATTTAGTCACTGTTTCTGTGTTGACTTTTTGTCTGGAAGATCTATCCAGTGAAGTCAGCGGGGTGTTAAAGTCAACAACTATGACTGTATTGCTGTTGATTTCTCCCTTAAAGTCCTTAAGGTTATTATTGATAGATCCTCATTTATTGCCATTTTAATTCTTTATGCTTATGTTTCTCTCTCTATTTCTTCTTATTACAGCAGGCCCTTTAACATTTCCTGCAGTGCTGGCTTGGTGGTGATAAACTCCTTTAGCCTTTTTATTTCACCATCTATTTTGAATGATAGCCTTGCTGGATAGAGTAGTCTTGGTTTCAGATCCTTGTTTTGCATTACCTTGAATACTTCATGCCATTCCATTCTGGCTTGTAGAGTTTCTGATGAGAAGTCAGCTGACAGCCTTACGGGAGCTCCTTTGTAGGTAACAGATTGCTTTTCTCTTGCTGCCTTTAAGATTCTCTCTCTGTCTTGAATTTTTGGCATTTTAATTATGCTGTGTCTGGGTGTGGGCCTCTTTGGATTTTTTCCTGCTTGGGACTCTCTGTGCCTCCTGAACTTGTGTGACTTTTTCCTTCACCAGGTTAGGGGAGTTTTCTCCCGTTATTTCTTCAAACAGGTTCTCTAACCCTTGCTTACTTTCTACTTCCTCTGACACTCCTATGATGCAAATATTGTTATGTTTCATGTTTTCCCACAGCTCCCTTAGACTGTCCTCCTGTTTTTTAATTGTTTTTTCTTTTTGGATCTCTGATTGAGTGATTTTTTTTCTACCCGGTCATCTAGTTCACTGATATGATCCTCAGCTTCCTCATATCTGCTGGTTATTCCTTCCAGTGTATTCTTTATTTCTGCCATGTCATTCTTCATTTCCTTCATAGTTTCCATATCTTTTTTCATGCTGTTGAGCATCCTTACAATCAGTATTCTGAACTCTGTATTTGATAGATTGCTTATCTCCGTTTCATTTACCTCTTTTTCTGGAGATTTCTCTTGTTCTTTCATTAGGGGCTTGTTTTTTTGTCTCCCCATGTTGGCTGCCTATTTGGGTTTATTTCTGTGTATTATGTAGCCCTGCTAAGACTCTCAGTCTTTTTGGAAGGTCTCTGGTGCTAGGCCAATGTCATATACTGTTTGTGACTGTCCTTGAGTACCCTGTTTGAAGCTATCAACAACCCATGGCTTGTGTTCCCCTCTGTTGGGGCTGGGTGCATTTGGACAGGACCAAGATGCTCACCAAAGTCTGCCTTTCCAAGGCCTGGGACCAGAAGCAGATCACGCAAAGACTCAAAGCACTCTGAGGTCTGCCTCTGCCTGCAAGGTGATTAATCTGATTCTCTTAATGAGCCTCAGGCTGTACACACACCGGAGAGGTTTTCCAGCAGGGTGGGGCAATTGTTTTCCCCTCAGGCAAAAGCTGCTTGGAAAGTAAATGTCTGCCTCTGCAATATGGGGTTATGACTCGGCACAGGAATCCAGAGGGTTACCCTCTGAGTTCTTTTCCCCCAGCCAGCGTCCCTGGATTCTCCTCACATAGCTCCAGTCCACTCTTCCCTCCCTCTGCTGGAGCCCAAGGTGAGTGGCTGCACAGGAAACTTTGTGCATTGGCTGTTTAATAGGGTGCCTGCATTTCCAGCCATCTCTCCCTGGCAGGCAGAAACCCAGCTGCTTTTCACAGCCAGATGCTATGTGGGGCACCTTTCTCAGTTCTGGTGCTCTTGGCTGGGAAGCCCAGACTAGTGTTTAGGCCCTAGAGTCCTCAGTGGAAACCCCCCACAGGGGAGATATCCCTTGGGACCTTCAGCTCCTGCCTATGGGAGCCCAGCCAGCCCTCTCGTGCCTCAGCACTTCCTACCAGTCTCTATGGGGTCTCCACTTTTCCTTTTTGGTTATGAAGGTGCTCTCCAGCTCATCTTCAGTTGCAGTTGATTATTCAGGATGATTTTTCTATATTTTAGTTCTAATTCCAGTTTGGTCCCAGGAGAGTGTCAGTATAGCTTCCACTCAGTCGGACGCCATCTTTAATCTCATCTTTTTAGTAACTCAACTAGTAAAACTAAAAGTATAAAGCAGAATTATGTGAAGATTTAAGTTTTAAAAGTTCTACTCTAATTTGTTGAAATGTCTGATAAAACTAGGACCAGTCAATTATGTGATTTCCAGGCTAATAAACTTAAGTTGTAATTCTTACTTTTCTCCTTCAAGGGCATCCGTTTCCGAGGCTACAGTATCCCTGAATGCCAGAAACTGCTGCCCAAGGCTAAGGGTGGGGAAGAACCCCTGCCAGAGGGCTTATTTTGGCTGCTGGTAACTGGGCAAATCCCAACAGAGGAACAGGTAAAGCAGAAGGGCATTGGCCTTTCTCATTCTCCTCCTTTGCCTTTCTCTAATCTGTGACACTTAATCCTGATGTGGCTATAGAGATGTACAGTGAAGGGGAACAATCAGAGCTGAGTTCTGCTGTATAAGTGGATTGGGTTGAATTCGCCTGTATTTTCTTACTCAGATGTCACTGTCTTTTTCTCTTCTTTTTCCTTGCCTAGTTTGAGCAGTGTCTCCTTTTCCACAGGTTTCTTGGCTCTCAAAAGAGTGGGCAAAGAGGGCAGCTCTGCCTTCCCATGTGGTCACCATGCTGGACAACTTTCCCACCAATCTACACCCCATGTCTCAGCTCAGTGCAGCCATTACAGCCCTCAATAGTGAAAGCAACTTTGCCCGAGCATATGCAGAGGGTGTCAACCGAACCAAGTACTGGGAGGTAGGAAATTTTGGTGCAGTGATTGATATGTGGTGGGGATTCAAAAGAATAGACTGTGAAGGAAGAAAAAGAGTATAGAATCTTTAGGAAATTTTACTTCTGAGTTATGCCAGAAATGTATTTAACAAATTTTTATTGTGGCTTGCTTTTTTTCAGTCTTTGGGATTACAGAGGTATATGGAGCATGCTTTCTGTCATCAGAAGTTGTTGGTTTGGTTAGGGTGGTGTACGTGTAAAAAAGAAATGATTCAGTAAAACCTGCTATAATATGTACACAGGGCTCTTGGAACATTGAAAAGGATGTGACTTCGCCCTGGCCAGGTAGCTCAGTTGGTTAGAACGTCGTCCGGATTTGCCAAGGTTGTGGGTTTGATCTCCGGTCAGGGCACATACAAAAGTCAACCAGTGAATGCATAGATAAGTGGAACAACAAATTGATGTTTCTCTTTCACTCTCTCCCTTTCTCTCTAAAATCAATGTTTGGAAAAACAATGTTTTTAAAGAAAAAGGATACGACTTAACTACAGGGTCCCTGAGGAAGATTTCACAGTATAGTCTCACACTAATGCCAAGCAGTCCCACCTACTCCTCTTCTTCAAATAAGGAGAACTTTGAGAAATCTTACAACTTGTATAAGATTGTACAAGTTATACAATCTTACAACTAAGGCAACTCTATAGAGTCTGGGAGGACTAATGCCAATCAGCCAGAGTTCTGAACTAGCCCACTCAAGATACCTGTCAGAAGTGGGAGGATAGTTAGTATCCCAGAAGTAGGATCCAGGACACTGAGCTTTATTTTCTGAAAATGAAATGTTTATACTCTGTAGTTGTGTAGTAGGAGAAGACTATTGTGCCTTGTCCCAATGCATAGAAGCTAATTCCTTCCATCTTCTTTCCAATATCCCACATACTCAAAAACACTAGGTCAAGTACAAGTTATCTAGCTAGGGTAACAGGAGGACATCTCATTTTCTTTTGTTTCTTATTCAGAGACAGGTAATATAGTAACACAAGAGTTCCCTTTTGCAAAACAGGTATACAAAATGATTTTGACCATAAGATGCCAACCACCAAGAAGGCCCGAAAGAGTTCACTATGATGCAAGGCACAAAATGGTCTGTGGGCCATACTGTGATCCACTGGTCTGATGAAATCCCCTTGGGATTTTGGCAAATCCTGCTTCATTTGGTTTGCCAATATTTATTTGATGCCAACTGTGTATGGAGAATTATGTTTGCTGTT